ATTTCCTGTTTTTGGACTGTTTCTTAACTTCATGCGGAATTCAGCTGATAAAAATTGATGGTCGCTATTACAATCTTTTCCTGGATAGGTCTTAACATCCTTAACAGCGCTCCTCCAACGGGTTTTTACCAGTATAAAATCTATCTGATTTCTGTATCTATTTCCTGGTGATATCCAAGTGTATAGTCGTCTTGGGTGATGTTGAAAGCCTGTATTAGTAACAAACAGGTTGTTGTCTATACAAAAGTGTAGCAAGCGTTCTCCTCTGTCATTTCTTTGGCCAAGTCCATATAATCCGACGGTCTCTCGCAAGTAATGATCTTCTGTAGTTACACCAATTTTAGCGTTGAAATCGCCTACGACTGCTGTGATTTCTCTATTTGGAAGCTTCCTAAGCGTCTGCTCCAACGTACTATAAAATGTTTCGATTTCTTCATCGTGAGCTTCGCTTGTTGGGGCATATGTTTGTACCACATTAAGATTAACTGGACTGGCATTCATTCTGACAACAATTATCCGATCGCTGACGGTTATGTATTCTTTTACGGAGGTTTTAAAGGCATTATTTACTATCACTGCGACGCCATTCCGAGATTCGTTATCATTGCCGGAGAAATAAATATCATTGCCATTTTTTGACGTAAAATGTCCTTTATTTTTCCAGTGGGTTTCAGATAGACCTACAATGGCATAATTGTGGATCTCGTTTTCCACTACATCCAATTTTCCGGGTTCCAGCAATCCTCGAACATTCCACGTACCGATTTTAAGGGTGCTCCATATTTTTATGTTTATTCCAGACTCAGAGTTTCCATGGCGTGCCTGGTTTCTCACAACATCATGGCCGGTAGCCCATTTCACACCATCAGCCCCGGACGCTGATTGGCGCCAATTGCTAGTTGGATCGCTCGGCATACTGATATGTTTAGAGGTCATCTTCATGATAGTTCTTGGGGCAAAGTAACGCAGTGGGGCCCCACTTCCTTCTGCGTGGTAGAAAATAGTTTAGAGTAAGGAAAGAAAATAGTGACCCGTCCGCCCTCGGAAACCTAATAGCCAATCGGGGTCAGAAAAACAAGAGTTGGCCAAGAGAGGCTGATAGGAAAGATAAAAGACACTTTACTCAAAGACTAGTTGAAGAAGAGTAAAATGTGAAGGTTCTCATGCAGCGCCAGATGTGCTTCATGAGAGTATGAGTATTAGTACACCTTGTGTTCCCGCTCATACATCGGGGTTCTGACTACAGGCAGTATAGCTCGTCCAGCATGCTATAGCAAGAAGAAGAGAGTGCACATCATCTCATATATAGAAACTAGTACACACCATCCCCATGGCCTGACCATGGGGATGGTGTGTACTAGTCTGTACTAGTACTAGTACTGACCAAAAACAAACAACTAATCATAAACTTTAAAACATTACCTCTCCACAAAGTAGAAACTAATTCGCATAACAATGAATCCCCTAATCAAATTAAAATAGATCCCAGATCCGAACAAATATTCAAATTAAAATGTCATCTGTCGAATACAGATCCAATTTTGCACAGAAAAGAAAAAGAAAAATTCCATATCCCCAACGCGTTAGTACACGTAAATGAAAAAGGAGAGTTTCTGACATCCGTAGTAAACGCAAATGCAATTCCCAAAATTATCGACTTTTCCGATATAGTAATTGAACCCTATTTAAACTACCCTATCCTAAATTTGCAGTTAAACGATAACTTGGAAAATTATTGCTCTGACAAAATTGACCGTACCAACAAAATAAAATCTCGACTTCGAACAGAACATCTTAACGAGGAAGAACAAGAATTAATAACAAATCTTTGCTTAAATTACGAAGACACATTTTACTTAGAAGGAGACAATCTTACTTTCACCAGTGAGATTAAACATCAAATTAAAACTAATAACGCCAAACCCATTTTTACGAAATTATACAGATATCCTCAGGTCCACAAAGAAGAAGTTAAATTTCAAGTAAATAAGATGGTCAACGAAGGTATCATCCGGCCCTCTACTTCTCCTTGGTCATCTCCTGACTCTTCTGGAGAACAAAAATGGCGAGTAGTAATAGACTACCGCAAGCTCAATGAATCTACCATTGACGATAAATACCCTCTTCCTAATATATCCGATCTCTTAGACCAGCTTGGAAAGTGTCAATATTTCACAACTCTCGATCTTGCCTCCGGGTTTCATCAGATCGAAATCGATCCTAAAGACATTCCTAAAACAGCCTTCTCCGTCGAAAACGGACACTATGAATTTACTCGTATGCCTTTTGGACTTAAAAATGCACCGTCCACATTCCAGCGTGTCATGGACAATATTCTTTTAGGTATTTTAAACGAACGATGTCTTGTCTATATGGACGACATTATAGTATACTCTCCTACCATTCACGAGCATATTTCTCGTCTTACCGAAGTCTTTAAACGTCTTCGAAAAGCTAATCTTAAAATCCAGCCTGATAAATGTGAATTTCTCAGGAAAGAGGTGGCGTATCTCGGACACCTCATTACCCAAGATGGCGTCAAGCCTAACCCTTCAAAAGTCGATTGTATCCAACGATTTCCTGAACCGAAAACACCAAAAGAAATAAAATCTTTCCTAGGTCTAGCCGGTTACTATCGTCGTTTTATTCCCAATTTTGCCAAACTCTCTAAACCTCTCACTAGACTACTCCAAAAAGACATTGCTTTTAATTTTAACCCAGATTGCAAGCAAGCTTTTGAAGATTTGAAAAACGCTTTAATTTCTGACCCAATTCTGACCTATCCAAACTTTGAGGAACCATTCGTCCTCACAACAGATGCAAGTGCATTCGCCATCGGCGCTATATTATCCCAAGGCCCCATTGGAAAAGATCTTCCTATAGCATATGCTTCACGTACTCTGTGTAATGCTGAAACACGATATTCGACCATTGAGCGAGAGCTCCTTGCCATCGTATGGGCTGTAAAACATTTCCGACCCTATCTGTTCGGTAGAAAATTCACCCTAGTAACTGATCACCGTCCACTCACCTGGTTATTTTCTATAAAAGACCCTGGAAGCAGACTTGCTAGATGGCATCTCAAGCTTGAGGAATACAATTATAAAATTATTCATAAACCGGGAAAAACCAACAAAAATGCGGACGCCCTTTCTCGAATTAAAATCAATCATTTTAAAGAATGTGCGAATTTTCATATGAAAATATCAATATTAGCTTCGAATGATACGGAATCTGACGAAGAGCCAAACGAAATCAATGAAGAAGAAATCACTGAACATTTTAATAGATTTGTCGAACTGTATAAAACTAAACCACTCATTGATTATTCTAAAATTGAAATATCTAATGATCAATTATTAAACAAATCGCATAAGAACATCATCACCTTTCTTAGACAAAATAAAATGGAAGAAATACATCACAAAATATTAGACGACGTCTTCGATGAAAACAATATAGATTTTAACTTGTCAAAGATTAATATATTCGGTAGTAAAACTGTCAAAAATCGGAAATATTTTATCATTCCCCTTCCTTTTGATCCCGAAACAGTAGTACAACACCTTATTTCTATATCGTTTATGTCGCACAAAATGAATTTAACCTATCGCAAACCTATTACGTCGAAAATCAACTAGAATTACCAATTCTGGAAGTATTTTCCTTTATCTTTGCCGATAAAGAAATAAAACTGAGAATCTGTCAAGATGTCATTAAAACTCCGGAACAGATGAAATACCCCAAATATTAGATCATTATCACCGTGGTAAAAGCAATCTCCATCGGGGTATAAATGAGACTATACGAAGAATAAAAGAAAAGTATAATTGGCAAGGCATCACAAAGGATGTAGAAAATTTTATAAAAAATTGCGAAATCTGTCAAAAAGTAAAGATCTGTAGAAAAAACTTAAGTATCCCGTTAGTCATCACCGAAACACCTAAAACAGGGGTAGTTTACCCCCTGCCTCTGATTGATTAACTCGAACTCACTGGATACTCATAATTACTTTATTGGTTCTCTAAGTACAACAATAGAGAGAGTACCCAGTTCACGGATGACAACACTAGCTTCGACTGTTAACTCTTCTTAATTCTTAATAATAATGATCTACTTCCTTTATTTTCCAGCTCACTTGGGTTTGTTTATATAATAATGTTTTACTAATATAATTTGTACACAATATCAAACAAGCTTTTGATTAAATTGCAAATTTCACTAGGTCAGCGCGTGTTCCAGTTACATCGGTATTTTCAATGTTATAAACAAACAATAACATTTAGCAATAAGCAATTATTAATAGTATTAAAATGATTTTAAATTTAAAACTTAATTGGGTAACTTTATGTTTAATTAAATTTCGTTACAATGGACTTTGTAGCATCAAATGGAACCAGTAATTGAAAATTGACTTTATTTTAACTAACAGGATTACTACATTCAAAGATGTCAGTGTAATTATAAATACATTTTAAACAGTCAGTGACCATAGACTAATCAGAGCAAAAAATGTTCTGGATCTTAAACTAGGAAGAGATAATATCGAAACTTAAAGTCATTCAAAGGTCCATGGAGAAATGCATGCTAGATATAACAAAGAGAGATCGAAAAAGAATAGAATGGATCAGATAGAAAATCAAGATCAGTGATATAATCCACAAAATTAAATCTTTAAAATGGTAATATGTGGGTAGAGATAAGAACTGACAGTAGATGGTCCACTAGAATTACACTGTGGTATCCGAGGCGTCAATAGACCGAGAAGACGTCCAACTTTAAGATGAGACTATGACATAACGAAATAAGCTGGTACAATATGGTACAGAAAAGTGAATTGATATTAGACAATCGTGGGCAGAAATGAAGAACCACTATAATATCGGCTAAGAATGATGATGATACATATATATATATATATATATATATATATATATATATATATATATATATATATATATATATATATATATATAGATTTAGAGATTTAGTGAACTTACTTATTCAACTATACATATGGGTATATTATTAAAACAACGCACTTAAATATAAAGTAAAACTAAAAATGATCTCCTAATTTAACCGATAATAAATTAAAAGTAATAATTTCAAGAGTGAACAGATAACACAGTTTAAAGTATTAATGGAATTTTAATAAAAAAAAGTATTATTTTATCTATAAGCATGTTATTCCAAATAAAAACTATTAAAGGAGCAAATGGCACGAGTTCTAATTATTAAAATTTTAGTGATAATGAAACCCTCTTAGTAACAAGTGTGTTTATAAATGAAAAATTAAATTCAGTGGGTATATACCTATATAAGATAAGGATCATAATAACAGAGGGAGACCTACCAAAGTTATATATCAGGAATTAACAATATTACTGTCGGAGACCAATGTCTATACTAAATCATTATTTACTCGACAAGCCTTTTTGAGTTCTAGATTGTTCAAGAAGTCTTCTCCAACAAAAAGATCTTATCGTTGCGTTTATAGACTATGAGAAAGTTTTCGACAAAGTTAGACATAACATTCTCATGGAATTTCTAAAGAGAAAAGGATTCGACAAAAATGACATTAAGATATTAAGAAATCTCTATTGGCTGGTAACATTAGATGGAAATAGCACGGATGCGCAACAGATAAGTAGAGGAGTGAGACAGGGCTGTGGACTTTCACCATTACTATTTAATATATATTAGCGTAATAGTTATTTACGCAAGCACTTGAAAACTATACAAAAGGGATCAGGTAAATGGTGAAAATATAAATAATATCCGTTATGCTGACGATACAGTCATTATCGCTGAAAGGGAGACAGACCTGCAGACGTTACTAAACACAATTTGTGATGCTGGGAACAGTTTGGTTTAATCAGAAACATCTTCTTCTTCTTTTTGTGCCACTCCTATCGGAGATTGGAAATCATCAAGGCTATTCTGACCTTGTTTACGGCTGACCTAAAGAGTTCATTAGTGGTGCAGCCAAACCACTCTCTCAAATTCCGCAACCATGACATTCTTCTACGGCCTGGATTCCGTTTTCCTTCCATTTTTCCCTGCATTATATTTTGAAGTAATGCGTATTTATGTCCTCTCATCAGGTGACCAAAATATTCGAGTTTTCTTCGCTTTAGCGTTTACAAAATCTCTGGGTCTTTTCCCATTCTTCGTATTACTTCACAGTTTGTTATTCTTTCAACCCAACTAATCTTCAGCATTCGACGGTAGCACCACATCTCGAAACTTTCAATATTTTTCATGTTGTTCTGTTTGAGAGTCCAGGCCTCTACACCGTATAATAGCGTGTTAAATACATAGCCTCTCAGCATTCTTAATCGTAGAGGGATGCTTATATTTCTGTTGCAGAAGAATTTTCTCATCTTTATGAAGGGGGCCCTGGCAATTTCGATACGTCTTTTTATTTCGCTGTTTTGGTCTCCAGTTTCGTTTATTAAAGTTCCCAAGTATTTGTAACTTGATACTTTTTCAACTTGAGTGCCGTTTATACTAATATACGCTGGTTGTGTCATGTTTTTACTGAAGACCATATACTTACTTGGTTTTTTTTAATATTGATATTTATACCATAATTGTTGCAAGCAATATTTATGTCTGTAAGTAATCTTTGTAATTCTTCTACTGTTCTTGCAACTAGTACAGTGTCGTCCGCGTATCGAATATTATTTACAATCTCTCCATTAATTAGCTTTAGGTTAGCTTTCTGATTCCAATATAGATTGAGAATTATTCGCAGATCTTTATTATCTATGTCCTTCCTTTCAAGAATCTCCCTAAGCTTATCATGGCGTACTCTGTCAAACGCTTTTTCAAAATCGATAAAACACGTATGTACCTTCTGATTAACGTCTAGGCATCTTTGTGTAAGAACATTCAAACCGAAAAGAGCTTCTCGAGCACCAAGCCCTTTTCTGAACCCCATCTGTGTATTACTAATATCTGACTCCAACTTTTGATAAACTCGGTTGTGGATGATTTTTAGATATATCTTTAGTAGGTGGCTCATTAAAGATATTGTTCGATGTTCTGAACATTCTTTAGCATTAGATTTCTTTGGCAGTGTAACGAATGTAGACAACAGCCACTCTTGAGGTATAATACCAGTATTGTATATTGTATTAAATAAGTGCAATATTATACCTATTGATTCACCATTCAAGAGCTTTATCAATTCGGTAGGAACCTCATCCGGTCCATTTGCCTTCCCAGTTTTGGAATTTTTAAGTGCCATTTCTACTTCACATTTTAGAATTTCAGGTCCCGTTTCGCCATATATCAGAACAATGTTATTTCTGTTGTCCTCAAATAATTCTCTTATGTATTCACTCCATCTATTAATTTTCTCTGTTAAATCTATAATAATCTTTCCATCTTTGTTCTTAAGCAAACTTATTTGACGTCTTCTTTGGGTTCATGTATTTCTCTTACTTTTTTATGTATATTGAACGTGTCATACTTTCTTTCATAGTTTTCCATTTCTACACATTGTTCTGTAATCCATGATTCTTTGGCATTTCTTATTCTTTGCTTTATGTTCTTATCAACCTTTCTGTATTTTTCTGCATTATTCTTCATTAGATTACGTCTTTCATCCATTAGTTCTAGAATGTCTGGTGTCATCCACACCTTATGTTTCTTTGCAGATTTGGTTAGGTGATTCTTTCCCGTAGTTCATATTATAGTATTTATATACTTAAGTTTTTCATCTATGTTGTCTGTTCTGCGGATTTGGCTTTCTGCTACACTGAGGCTGGTGTTTATTTCTTCTCGCATTGTTTGTCGTAGATGTTTATTTTTAAGCTGGCTTAAGTCTAATGCTGGAATGATGGCTTTTCGTATTTTCTTTGGTCTAGCTTCTATCACAGATACTACTGGATTATGATCCGAACCGATATCAGAAACATAAAGGAAACAAAAACCATGGTTATCAGTAACAGGGGCAAAGTCATTACAAGGATCAAGATAAAAATTAAAGATATTGAGCAAGTGGACAAGATGAAATACTTAGGATTCTGGATTACGGAAGATCTGAATGCGAAATCAGGAAATTTCTGAGTAACCAAAGAATCAATCTGCAAATCCGATATCGGATGGTAAAATGTTATATCTACTCTATTCTTCTTTATAGTGTCGAAGCCTGGACTGTTAATGTTAACTTAATGAGAAAACTGGAAGCTTTTGAGATATGGCTTTTTAGGAGAATTTTGAAGATCTCATGGACCGATCATATTAGGAACGAAATGATGTTGCGCAGAATGGGAAGAGACAGAGAACTTTCGAACACCATTAAAAGGCGAAAGACAGCATATTTGAGGCACATACTTAAAAATGATGAGTACGAGTTGTTACAGCTGATTATGAAGGATAAAATCGAAGAAAAAAGGGGTCCTGGTAGACGACAAATCTCCTGGCTGAAAAACATTCTCGACTGGACCGGGTTAAACCTTCATTAATGGAGACGGCACTAGAACAAGAATGTTTAAAATCGCACAACACTGGTCGCACCGCAAATTACCAGATATTTCAACAACAACGAATATCTAGAAGAAGAACTTGATATATCTACTAACTTTAAAAGTCGCTAGAGCGATTGAAAATAATAAAACGGGAAAACTAGTGGTACATTCAAAGTATATATAGAGATATTCAAATTAGTTGACGAAAAAAATATTCCTACATTAATAAGACTGTTCAATGAAATATATAGGTACATCTGATAGGATTTCACAAAGTTGGTTGAAAATATGCTTAAACTAATGCATTATTGAATACAGGGTGTCCAGAAACTCTCCTGACAAACGAAAACCGGAGATTCCTCTGATAATTTTAAGCCCATTTATCCCAATACATATAGTTCGAAAATGATTCCTCAGAAAGCTAGAGCACTTTGAAGATGGCGCCTTGTAAGTAGTTTTTTTAATACCTTCAGAAAGCTTCTATTTAAAAAAGCAAAACCTAATACGAATATTTATCCTTCAATTGTAAATCTCTAGTACCGTTCATAGGCATCCGTTTTGGGTAGGTCAACCGATATTTTATTAACGTGGAAGTTTTTTGTCTTTAACTTTTAAGCATTCGAGATACTAGATTATTAAATTTTTAGGTATTCTAGTATTAAAAGGTACTCTTATTTGAAGTCGTTAGGATACACTGTTTCTAGAAAAATCAATTTGAAATTTTTTCGTTTTTGAACCTATTTCCCTTAATCATTGATAAAGAGTTTGTAAATGTCGAGTGAGTGGAATGCCCACGATTGGAAAATTTTTCAGCTATCTATGTTACTGCTCAAGCGTTACACCTTATTTCGCAATAAACTAAATGCATATCAGTGTATTTCTCATTAGTTAAAACCATTTTTGTTGCATTGAAATTGTTGTGTTTGAATGCCACAAAGTATAAAACTAAAAAGAAACTTCACGAACTGACAACAATTTGACAATAAAAAACGTAGGTTATACTTCTTTTGACAGTTTGAAGCCAACTAGTGCAAAAAATATAAATTTGCCTTTTGTGACGAAAAAATGAAAAATTTTCAAATCGATTTTTCTCGAAAACGGTGTATCCTACCGATTTAAATCAAGAGTACCTTTAGTACTAACACACCTAAAAATCTAGTAATCTAGTATCAAGAATTCTTAAATTTTAAAAACAAAAAGTTATGCTTTAGAATAACCGTTGACCTAACCAAAACGGACGCCTATGACCGGTACTAGAAATCTGCAATTAATAGAATTCATTCAACTATGGAGGATAAATAATCGTATCAGTTTTAGTTATTCTAAATCGAAGCGTTCTAGAGGTATTTAAAAAAAACTAATTAGATGGAGCCATCTTTAAAGAGCTATCGCTCACTTATGAAGCATTTTCGGACTGGGGAATTGGGTCAAATTATCTTAAAATTATCTTAGCAATCTCCGTTCTTCGCTTGTCAGGAGAGTTTCTGGATGCCCTGCTTATACAAAATGCGAAATAGACTGTTTCACGCTTTTGGTTAGGCTAGAGCTGTTTTTATAGAAATCTGTCATTGGTCGTTGTGCTTAAGAGCCAACGAACT